TTTATAAACAGAAAGTCCTGTTTAGGACGTATACGGTAAAACTGACATTTGAATAGAGTGTGCTACCGTGTTTGATAACACATAAACAGTGGGAAATTTGATTCTCTTTAATCCGTGGATTCGCTGCTTACACGCTTGTAAAGGCCTTTAGCTATGTACCTATTCAGAACTCAGCCAAGCACGAACGCGATGGTGACACATAGAGTCGTATAACAAGGAGTAACCGTGGGTAACAGTAAATAGTAATGCTTTAGTCCAATCAAAGACAGTCGGAACTAGTTCCATTCCACTGATATGAGTGAGTGAGTGAGTGAGTTTTACACAGGAATACAATAGTAAAGGGTGGATAGAGAAGGGGTGAGGGTGGGGTGGGTGGTGGGGATAACTCAATTGAAACTGCAAATTGCAAACTTGATCGAGTTTGATGCACCTGAGTGAGTGAGTAAATTTAGTTTTACTTCGCTTTAAGCAATATTCCAGCAATATCACGACGGAGGACACCAGAAATGGGTTTCACGCATTGTATCCATGTGGGGAATCGAACCTGCGTCTTCAGTGTGATGAGCGAACGCTTTAACCATTAGGCTACCCCACCGCCCCTCCACAGATATGAACATGCGTATATTAATTGATCTAAGTAAATATACATTCATACATACAAGAGTTAACGACTGCTGCTGAAGCCGCCATCAGCAATATGACGGTTATGTAACAGTTGCCTGTTAACAAACCATTGGTTGACATTATGAGGGACGTTCCACGCCATCGTGAGAAGACAACTCACTGAGAAGAACTGGGATTTTGTATGTACATGTTAGCTGTTTTTCAGCAACAATTACATTTCTTTACGAAAAGTGTGGAACCTGAATGGTTTTTTAAAGAAAAACACCTTGAAACTATGTAAATTTTTGAAGCAGAAAATTCCTTTTTTTAACACTCGTAAGTATTCATTTTATCCAAGAATTGTTGGGGGCATTGAATATTTTACGAAAAAGTCCGAGTAATATGATGACCGTCTATGCTTCTTGTGAAGTCTTTCATTCTATGCCCATTAGTGAAATAAAGGCTGGTGCTATATTCCAATGGTGAGACGAGGACGGCATATCTGCAGACCTGAGCTCTGGCATCTTCATTTACAGCGAAACTTCGTTAACTAAAAAAAGTGGAGGTTTCGAGTACTTGTAACCATACCTTGATATGATATTAAAGGGCTTGCCAAAACGAGTCATCGTTTCGCCACGTCTGATCAACCAGATGGTTGAAAAGGGAAGACTGTCCCACTCTTGAATAAGAGCATTGGCGAGTTCCTGTAGAATTGTCAAAAGAGGTAGATCTGCAGCTAGTTCCATATTATATTTCGATAGTTTTGGGGTCTGGTAACCGGGGTGGCTCTCCGTGAGGATAATGGTTCCCTGCTCCGTAGCCATCAGCGTCCTTGGCATGGTTAGGTTGTGTGAGGGTGGCGCTCGGTATTATTGCCCAAGCATACGATCTCACACACTCATCCACAATGTCATCCCTGTATCGCTTACCTGTCATTATGCCCCACTGAGTACATGGAGATCGGTTCTTCCAGCTCAACTCATCAGACCCCAAATTATGACTGACTGACTGACTGAGTTTGGTTTTACCCCGCTTTTAGCAATATTCCAGCAATATCACGGCGGGGGACACCAGAAATGGGCTTCACTCATTCTACCCATGTGGGGATTCGAACCCGGGTCTTCGGCGTGACGAGCCAATCCCAAATTATGAGTGATTCACCTTCATTTCACTCCTGATATCAGAACCTCGATAAACCAGTGAAAGGTAGACTGGTGCCCTGTCCTGTTCGATTTAACTGGGGGCGGTGGGGGTAGTCTAGTGGTTAAAGCGTTGGCTCGTCACGCCGAAGACCCGGGTTCGAATCCCCACATGGGTACAATGAGTGAATCCCATTTCTGGTGTCCCCCGCCGTGATATTGCTGGAATATTGCTAAAAGCGGCGTAAAACCAAACTCAGTCAGTCGATTTAACTGACGTGACCTTCAACCTGATCCAAACGTGCCTGACGTTTCGTTTCTGCATGAGTGTGGCGGCACAGTCACAAAGAGATGACGCATGTCTACAGTCAGAAAAGAGAACAGTCTTCCCGATTGGCGGTGGAACGCTGTCGACCACCTGCAGGTTGATGGGTATCTGATCCAAACGTCTGATGTCGAATCCATCGGTGCTCATCACATTTTGCTGACATTTAAGACGTATGCATCGTGACTTTGTGTTGACCCAGTTTCAAGCATGCCTGTGCATCTGCCTTTGGTAGTCAACCGACGTCTTTGTCACTTGGGGGGCATGAGGGCACTTAGTTGTTGTAATGCGATCAGTGACAAATGTTGTGCTCTCTGAAAATGATGTGTAACAAATCTGTAACGATACATCCAAACCCAGGTTTTCAAGCACCTCGTGAACATCGGCCTCATGACTCCATGCCCCTATCCGGTCACCATGATGGGGTTCTGTAGGGGTTACCCAGTCATTGTGTACCTGGATATTTCAGTTTTGCTTTGTTGGATCACCATTCAATATCGTAAATACTTGATCCCTTGCAAACGTTGACTGGTATACAACCAATACAATAATGTATTTCACACATCACATGCTTATTGAAATTGTATCTGTACAGAGTAGAAGTGAGAATTGACATTTAGCTATCTATTGGCCAGTAGTAATGAAGTTCTTTCAGAATGCGCGAGGATGTGAATTTGTCTCATTATAGATAAACACGCGTTTATATGTACGCTAAATATGTTAATATTTTACTCATATGTTTAGTTGGTTGATTGGTTGGTTAACGACACACTCAGCGATATTCCAGCTATCATGGAAGCGGTCTGTAAATAATCGAGTCTGGACCAGACAATCCAGTGATCAACAACAGGAGCATCAATCTACGCAATTGGGTGATGACACGTGCCAACCATGTCCGAGAGCATGACCAGCCGATCCCGTTAGTCGCCTCTTACGACAAGCATGTATTTCTTATGGATGTGGAAAGGGTTTTGTCGCTTCTATCTACAGAAGACCAATTCTTACCCGGATCTTCATGTGTCTGATATGTTTTGTTTGATATTTCAGGCAATACAGGGATGCTTGTATATGAAATAATACCACATCGTCACAGATCCCATGAAGATACACCGACATGGGGGTAACGTAGGGGTTTTAGTCTGAACCGAATGTCACTGGCGTCTGTACAAACTGTACATGCATTTGTGCATGTTGTTTAACACCGCGCGCAATAATAGTCTCTAAATTTAAATCATGGAATGAGTGAGTGAGTTTAGTTTTACGCCGCACTCACCAATATTCCAGCTATATGGAGGCGGTCTGTAAATAATCGAGTCTGAACCAGACAGTCCAGTGATCAACAGCATGAGCATCGATCTGCGCAGTTGGGAACCGATGACATGTGTCAACCAAGTCAGAGAGCCTGACCACCCGATCCCGTTAGTCGCCTCTTACGACAAGCTCGGGTTACTGAAGATCAATATTCTAACCCGGACCTTCACGCTCCCGTCATCTGACCACCGATACAATTACAACGTAGGGGCGGTGGGGTAGCCTAGTGGCTAAAACGTTCGCACGCCACGACGGGTTCACTTCCCCACATGGTTACGACGTGTTAAGTCCATTTCTTTGTTCCCCAAACATGATATTTCTGGATTGTAGCTTGAAAACCGCATATTCACAATTACTCGAAAGCTCTTCGGGTTTACACTCGAATGGAATCGAACCCATTTCTTGGTCGTGAAGAGCGAACGCTGGTCACACTGCCTCCGTTTGCAAGAAACGCGACCCGTGAAGATCCGGGTTAGAATTGGTCTTCAGCAACCCATGCAATAGGCGACTAACGGGATCGGGTGGTCAGACTCGCTGACTTGGTTGACACGTATCGTATCCCAACTGTCTAGATCGATGCCCATGCTGTTGATCACTGGATTGTCATATCCAGATTCGATTATTTACAGTCCGTCGCCATACAGCTGGAATATTGCCAAGTTAATTCGGCATAAAACTAAACTCACTCGCTCACTTCAAGAAACCATTTGGATATAATTATATTCAAAGGCAAAAGTTTAATTTGTATGATCAACACAATTGATTCAAGAAGTCCGTAGAAAAAAAGGCATAAAACGTGCCCTTTAAAAAGTGGGGCTCTAAACCCAAATCATGGCCACCCTCGGAAATCATTGTTTTGACGTTGACGGCTCCGAAAAACACAAATTTGGAAGAATCTGCTTGCATTTCTCTATGCCACGGCTAACCCGAACCCGGGAATTCGGCGTGGCGAGCGAACGCTTTAACCACTTGTCTACCCCACCGCCCCTAAACGTCTTTCAGGAGATGGAAACACCGACTCCCGCTGTCCGGACAGACGCTTAAAATGTATCCACCTAACTATGATCGATATAAAAGCAATACCCACATAAGTAAATTGAGTTTACTCCATTGACAAATGACAGTAATCGAAACACAAATAAACAACAAATAAACAAACAAACATAATATATTCCAGCGTGTTAAATATGTGACTTAAAGGTTGACTTTGAAATAGCTGAAAATATTTTATGGACGGCATGACGTCATCACTTGTATGACGTCATGAAAGTGCAGTGGAAGTGCAAGGAAACGTATGTTCTCACTGTGGACGGTGTAACATAATGCATCACTAACATCCGCATCAACAAGCTGAAACGAAATGGGACCAAATATGAGAAAAACAGCCGTGTAAATCCCTTGAGGTTTCCAAAACAAAAAATTAAAATATACAACCACTGTCAACCCAAGTCAGAAAAGAAATACCCTGCATACCCTTAATCTTTACAACGCATGTCGTCATATAACAGTCAACATGAGGGAACATTACACCTAATGTGACATAACGCTTCTAGTAATATTTCCTTGTTTACCAAACGCCGCCTTAAAGTGTCCAGTTAAAAGGCGCCCATACTCAACGTTCGTTTCACGAAGGCATATTCTGTTACTATTAACGCCACACTTGCCTGGGGCTTCCCCGAAAACCGGTGTGGCTATAGGCTGAAGCGGAAGGCATTTGAGCGTGACTGGAGGGTTCAGCTTGCAAGGCGTATCAGCAGGGATATATACATTCGTAAATTTGGAGTCAACCACAGTGGATCTTAATGGTCCGAGGAAGCCGGCACAAGGTGTGCTCATCGCTTTGTTTACGTACGTAGAATATAGTGTCTTGGGATGGCGGACACGACCACGAACTACGATGCTGCCGATTTGGCATGGATGTATCAGGAGGCAGAAGATGACGAGGATGATCAAGACTGGGCCGATGGGTGAATATGTTTATTATTCAACTAAATTTTACAATTGCGTGATTGCCTGCTCCCCGTTTCCGCACAGGGCTGCGAGTCATTGTCAATCGCATGCTCGTGTATTGTTTGTGGTGGCGGTCAATGGGCGGCAGTTGTTCAAGTTCGTAAGTAAACACACTTTCTCGCGCTATTTAGAATACTCGGGCTGATCAGCTGTGACAATTGACGCCACTTTGATATACGGAGCTGTCCTTGAAACCTTCACACACTCCAACCACTGTCAGTTTCTTTCATGCTTGTTAAAAGTCAAGTGTTGAGCTATTTCACTGGAGTCACTTGTGATCACTGATTGTCAATACAAAGAAAGCAGGAATGTTTGAAACCCTTATCAAATCATTTACTAGTCTAGTAATTTTCTAATCAGTGAGCAAATAATTTCCTTAATCTGAATATATAATTATTACCTGGTATAGTAAACTCTACATAGTTATTAATATTACACATTTTTCAAATTTTTAATTGTGAGTTGTTTCTACACCATGTTTTCAACAAAGGATGTGAATCTCGAGTCTTTCAGAAGGTATTCATATCTTGTACTGGAAGAGCATGTAATGGACTAGTAATTGAATGTGATTAGACATTTATCAAAACAATGTCACATGCAGAATACATTCAGTATGCCCTAAGCCTGGCTTTAATATACAGGTCCCACACAATAGAAGAGGGGGCATCTCAAGGCCTGATATATGAAATATTACCTTAAAATATATGAGTTTTGCAGGAAGGAATGTTTATAAAATACACCAGTCATTTGATATTTTTGGGGCGGTGGGGTAGCTTAGTGGGTAAAGTGTTCGCTTGTCGCGCCTAAGACCCGGATTTGATTCCCCCCAATGGGTACAGTGTGTGAAGCCCATTTCTGGGGGCCCCTGTCCGTGATATTGCTGGAAAATTGCTAAAACAGTAAAAGCGCGTAAAAGTAAACACACTCACTCACTCATTTGATATTTTTTTAAATAATCATGATGTATTGCATAGTTCATGTTCTTTGCAACATGTTGTTGAAACTATTTGAATTCATTCCACTCCAATTATTCTATAGGATGGAATTCAGCATCAGAATCAGAACTCACTGGGACTGTGAGTTTAGTATCTTTCTTTTAGCAATATTCCAGCAACAACAGTAGCACCAGAAATGGGCTTCAACATTTAAGTGGGCGTGATATTTATGATATCTTTACAGAAAAAGTAGCAGGTAAAACATTTAAGTAATATTTATGATATCTTACATGAAATGATCCATTGAATGATTGAATCATTTGGTACCTAACTGAATGTTGCAGTCTGTGATTTCATCAACATCACCTGCTACATAACCTGTGGTCGATCTTATGAACACTTCATTTGTTTGCATGTATATAAAATTACTCAACGTGATTCACTGTTAATTGTTACAGAAACATTGTCTTAACACGCTCACTGCTTATCAAGAGTATACTCGTGTTATCAATTGTAACAGAATTTGCCACTACGAGTTATCCCGTAGCTACATCAGTGGTATTTCAAAACAAATTTCACATGCTGGCTAAATAGGCTCAAGAAGCAATCGTTTCCTGGCGGTAACAATGAACCACAAAAGGATGTGTACTGATGTAGCTAGCAGATAACTCGTAGTGGCAAATTCTGTTACAATTGATAACATGAGTATACTCGGGATAAGCAGTGAACATGTTAACCTTATACAATTTTGTATGTATGACATTTGGTTTAATAACATCACAAGATATTATTGAGGAAAGTTGTTTTCTTTGTAAAAATTAAAATTATCGGTAAATTCTATCTCTGATCTACTGGGCCTACAGTGGTAATACACAGTTCATGTTTGACTTTTGTAAGTATATGCATGTAGGTATGTTAAAGGGCTGTCAAATACCTCAATCATATGTAGAATGTAATAACTGTAATTAATTTGTATCCACTTACTGTGCTTCTATTAGTTCTGATAAATACTGCCATTATGTATATATTATGTATAACAACGTAAATAATTGTAACCCTTGTACCACCATAGGTGTGTGTGTGTGAGTGTAGTTTTATGGCGCCTTTAGGCCACACTATTTTTATTACTTGGTTTACGGATCTGCTGACCAATAAATTTTGCTAAAGTGGGAAAGAAAATGTCAATGTTCATTTTTTAAATACAGACGATAACTAACATCCAAATAAATAATTTTAAAATCTACCTTATTGAAATCAAGTTTCTGTTACAATTTTAGCATTGTGGCAAAACAAAATCTTAAATATTACTGAATAAAACACAAATTAATGTTACCGAGTGAAAATGCTGGTTCTTTAAAACCCTATTATAGTAGGAAATGAGAACACCTGAATGGCTGATGGCATATTCTATTTTTTTAAACAGCCTACTTGTAGTGAAAGCCACTTAAGGAAAAGAAAAATCTGGAATAGCATTATTTTTTTCTACCACCTACCGACAGGAATATTGCTGTAAACAAATCTGTAAACCAAGTAATATAAAAATTGAGGCCTTAGCTTTATTCCAGCAATATCATGGCAGGGGATGCCAGAAATTGTGCCTATGTGGGGAATCGAACCCAGAACTTTGGCATGACGAGCGAATGCTTTAACCATTAGGCTACCCCACCACCCCTACTACCATAGGAGTTTTCTTTTGAGAAATAAATATGTTAAGGAAATGGAAGTGACAATTAAGCTACTTGACAATCCATGCTTCATGACAGTGCTTTGTCATTTCTTGTTAAGAGGATCTAGGTGTCTGCCTGTTCTGTCATAACTTGGTTCATAAAGGACAAGCAAGATGGCCAGATGTACCGATACCCTCATAAGTCATGATGCAAGGAACTGAGTATGGTTTTATGCCACTTTTTGCAAAAATCCAGAAATCACAGCTGGGAAACTCAGGGGTTCAAAAATCCCATGGCCCGATGCCCGGGACAAGTCAGTTTTCATTTCAGGCAATCAAATAATGGTATCTTACTTGTCCGTGGGCTACTAGATAATTTCCACTTATGGTTTCAAGCCGCAAATAAACTTGGATTTAATTTCATATCTGCTCAAAATGTAGATATTACATTTCGCAATGATAATAAAGAAGAGTTATCTTTCTTTGCTATTTATCACTTTTCAATAAATAGTCCAGTAAACATTAACATCAAATACCATGTTGATTTCTTCTTTCATAATTACATCATCATAATTATGTCATAAAATCAGGGCAAGTGGAAAATTAGTCAGGACAAGTTACTTTCTTAAAGTCACTTTCCCTATGGCAAGTGGCTTTTTAAAAAAAATTTGAACCCCTGAAAATCCAGATGTGGGTTTCACACATTCCACCAAGCTGGGAATCGAACCTGAGTCTGTGGCGTGACGAGTGAACACTTGAACCACTAAGCTACCTAACCCTTGTATGATGTGACACTTTAAACAGTTTCAAAGAAAATTGTATAAATTTCAATGTGTAAATTGATGATAAATTTGTCACGTGCCAATTGCAGAGTTACAGGACTTTGTGAGCTGAATGTCTATGAGCACAACTTGAACTTCCGTGTGGATGTCATAAATTCCCGTACTAGTACTTCAGGCACAGAAAACTTATACTGGGTCACATGTGCAGCAAAATTATAAAATAGTTTATTTGAAATGACCATATTTGTAAAATTCTAACAGAGATTTATCTGGACCGAAGTTTGGCACCAATCTACTATGTGTCATTAGAATATCCAAATACGAATTACAAAGTACCTCTTTCATACAAAAATGGTAAAAGTTAAGGTCACAGCTTGGTCGAGGTGACTGGTAATCACAGAAATATAAAGAGAGACTACATGACTGTACTGAATGCAATGTTGAAAGTAAATGTGAAAACCCCTTAACAATTATTTCCAACTTTTTCCTGACAAGGTCAAGGTCATTTATCTATAAACTGTGTCTATGTCATCATCTGTCAGCATTTGTGGAATGCATATCAAACAGATCAGAGAGCTTTAATTTCATTTCTTGATAACTGCCTGATCAATAGATAAACAGTGGAAAATATTATCATGGTGTTTAAACACTTATTGAACCTGTGATTCAGTTCTGTGTACAAGATGAGACACAGCTGTGAAGATCCGGGTTAGAATTGATCTTCAGCAACCCATGCTTGTTGTAAGAGGCGACTAATGGGATCAGGTTGTCAGACTCGCTGACTTCGGTTGACACATGTCATCATATTCCAATTACGTAGATCGATGCTCATGATGTTGATCACTGGATTGTCTGGTCCAGACTTGATTATTTACAGACCGCCACCATATAGCTGGAATATTGCTGAGTGCGGCGTTAAACAACAAACTAATGCATAGGTCGCAGATATACATTCAACAGTAACCCGTTGACTAATTGATTCATAACAGTCATAGCATGGTAACTCAACTGTCAAGGAGTCATTGTCTTGTCACTCTCTCAAGTGGAAGGATATAAAACAATCATAACAATAAAAATATACTGGAAGCCCGTCTATGACAACATTGTTACTTATCAGTGTATATAACACAGCAATCAGTGACACATGACAGCTGTGACAGTGTTGATTCAAGTGCCAGATGATAAATCACCTTTAAGTGTGTACTAAACATGAAATATACAACCACTACTACTGTATACAGTGTTGTAACTGGTCTATTTCAGGAAGGGAATGTTTATGACAGTCGTTAGCATGTTTAATAAACTGATTGCTACATTAAATAAACAGGCTTTATAACGAAGCTTATAACAGACCAGAGACCATATATCAGTACATGTATATGGTCTCTGAACAGGCTAATGCATGTATGGAAAACATTTTGCTGTGCATTTTAGTCAATAGCCATAAAAGAAACTATGGTTTTAACGAAATAAAATTAGTGACCTCTTAGATTGCTTTATAACGGTAGTTTACAGTGAAAACAGTTTCATTTTTTTAGGTGGAATAGGTTTCATAGTGACCATAGGCCATTGTGCATCAAACTGTTTTTTGTCATCTATAAGGAGGTAAGAAACTGAGACTTCATCATTTATTTGAATCCATATGGAGCAGTCTTTCTTGATCGTTTAACGTCACCCTCAGCAATATTCCAGCTATATGGCGGCGGTCTGTAAATAATCTAGTCTGGACCAGACAATCCAGTGATCAACATCATGAGCATCGATCTATGCAATTGGGATATGGTGACATGTGTTAACCAAGTCAGCGAGTCTGACCACCCGATCCTGTTAGTCGCCTCTTATGCCATGTATAGGATGCAGAAGATCAGTTCTTACCTGAGTCTTCATGGGTAAATGGAACAGTGGAATGTGTAGGCTGATGCTGAAACTCAAAACATTTAACATTTTCTCCTGAACCAAATTATGTTTGTTGTGTTAAGTGCCTTGGCACTTAGAAAGTTGTCAAATAGGTTACTTATTAAAGCCATACACAATCAGCTTAGTTTAATGAGTGAGTGAGTTTAGTTTTACGTCCCACTCAGCAATAGCTTAGTTTAATGTCAGAGATCAAGAGATTGTGGTCAACCTTAGTTTTCAAATGTTTGTGAAATAAAACCCTTTTTGATAATCATTACCAGGCAGTGTTATTCCCCTTCTACACATCTGTTTTCTGTATAAAAATCTGTCATCTTAACAAGAATATAAGGAAGATCTTGTAAATGTTAGGCCTTTGGGAATTCTTATGAAGATTACAGATTGCTGTAGACAATGATAATGGGGCACCTTTTTGAACTTGGAGCTTAACATGGCTGATGGGGGTAAGTGTTAGCGGGCACTCACCAATGATCCTTGTTATCACATAAGTGAAATGTTGCTTATTAAGGCCAGACCGATTTTATTTCTTGTTTTAGGGATTTTTGTCCTCAGAAAACCTAAAGGCAAGAGAGAAAAAAATAAAAAATAAAAATCACCAGTCCAGGTAATATTCCATTTAGATACTAAAAGTATTATATTTTTGTCAATTTATGAAGTGTATATGAGGCAAAAAGCATTCAAAAGATTTTTTTTTTGTAAGTTTACATTTTGGGCCAATAAAAACATGAAGATTTTATTTTTGGAGCGGGGAAAATTAATTTATAGCCAAAAATAATTCCCTGTTACTTGAAATTATTTGACAGTTGATGGCTGCAACATATATATTATCTGGAATCCCCGGGTAACTGCATCACCCCGGGGCAGTGAGATCAACAAGTCATACAAGCAACCCGAGTTGTAAACACACTTCAATCAATCTTGATCTCGAGGCCTTTTTATTTTGACAAGTTTATAACCTGTTTCTGTGTTATATTGTTTTATGATTAAATCACATGCTGGGTATATTAGAACTTAGCCGCTTGTTGACACAGATTGATGGGACTATAATCCTCAAGGCATGAGAAGTGCATATTGGCTTCAAATATATTCCTTCGTGTTGGCTCTGACGTTCTTTATTCGGACTTGGTATTCAGTTGAACTTTGTAACAAACTTGGAGGTGTCGGATTCCTGTGTTTCTCGAACTCACCTTCCTGATTTCTTCCTGAATACCTTTCATATCTATCATTATATATGCCAGTATTCGGATCTGTTGAACTAGAGGTGTCTAATTCCATGTAGTCATGAATTCACCTTCCTGATTCCCTGCGAGTTCTTTTTATATCCGTCATTATATATATTTAGAATCAGATCAGTTGAACTGGAGGTGTTAATTCCCATGTGTCATGCGACTTCCTCTTATATCTACCCGTGAAGATCTGGGTTAGAATATTGATCTTCAGTAACCCATGCTTGTCGTAAGAGGCGGTTAGCGGGATCGGGTGGTCAGGCTCGCTGTCTAGGTTAACACATGTCATCATATCCCAACTGCGTAGATCGATGTTCATGCTGTTGATCACTGGATTGTCTGGCCCAAACTCTATTTTTTTGCAGACCGCCGGAAAATATTGCTGAGTGTGGCGTGTACAACTAAACTCACTCACTCACTCCTCTTATATCTATTGCATATATACTCTGCACAAAAATAAATGCAATAAATTGGAGATATCTGACAGAGTTTTGCTGATCAATATTTATACAAAATGAATAGCAAATATGAATTTTTGATTCATGGGAGTGATATGGGTAGAATGAAGTACGACCAAAAAAATGTTTGGGGAACTCAAAAGCGCAACCACATGGGAGCATGGCAGCTAACACACCATCATGAAAGGATTGTGAAACATGAATTGTTGAGTGATTAAACTTGAAGGTTTTCATTTGTCTGTCATCACAGTTGTGTAGCAGGTGAAAAGTGAAAACATGCCACGACTTACAGAAGCTCACTGTAACAACGCCATTAGCCGAGTGATATAGCCAGGTTTTGCCATGTATTGCCAAACACCATTACAAGAGTATAGAACCATTATCAGATGCAGGGATTAACATGACTTACCCAAATCCAGTCAACTATATGTCCAACTGCAGCAGACAGGTTCATAAGGGTTTGTCACTTATGTGATAGGGGGCGGTAGGGTAGCCTAGTGGTTAAAGTGTCCGCTCGTCACACCGAAGACCCGGGTTCGATTCCCCACATGGGTACAATGTGCGAGGTCCATTTCTGGTGTCCCTCGGTGTGATAATGCTGGAATATTGCTAAAAGCGGCATAAAACTAAACTTACTCACTCACATATGTGATAGACTCACCACAGCCACCTCTACAGTTAAAGCATGAGCAATACCAGGATTGCATAGGATTTCAGCACCGGCATTGAGGCTTAGGTATTCACCTGAGTCGATCAGGTCTAGGACACCCCATTATGCAACAATCAAATGTCGTTTTTAAACATGACAACGCCAAACCTCACATGGCAAGATTGACAGGGGCCATTTTGAGGAACCACAACATCTAAGAGCTGCCAAGTCCCTCGAGGTCTCCAGATCTAAACCCCATCAAACATTTATGGGATTGTGTTAGGCAACTTCTCCTACAGAACTTCCAACAGTTTGGACACGCACAGCAGGAAGAGTGGGTGAACATTCTCAAGGCCACAATTCGTAATCAATTCATGCCAAGCAGTTCTGGACTGTCATGGAGCCATACAAGATACTGAAAACAGATGACCTTCACCTTGACACCTTGATACATAAACGATACATCAGGAAACCAGACTTGTTAGAGTATATATTCAGATGTGTCAAACTGGAGGTGTTGAATTACTGGCTGTCTCAAGTTCAATTTCCAGGCCCTACGAGTTTGTTTCATTTCTATCCTTATATATATATTTGGATTTGTTGAACTGGAAATGTGGAATTCCTGGATGTCACAAAGATTGGATTATTTCCTAAATGGCATTCAATCTCAGAGTAAGGCACACAATTTCTGGGTGGCTGAGTGGGTTAGATGGCACACTTTGTGTGCTGGAGATTAGGTGCCTGACTCGGAGAGTGTTGGTTTGAATCCCGGATGGGACTCAACCCCCCAAAAGTACTAGATTTTGCACTTTTCGGAGAAAATGTAATCCCGACTATAGCATATGTTACATTTGACCACTTTCTGAATGGCATTGAATATTCACTCATAGAATAATCGTCTCTACCCCTCTCTTTGAAAGATAAACAATGTATGTATTCTGTATGTGATGCATCAGTTACTAACATAATTGCGTGAACATAAGATTAAATTATAAACCAGTTCTTGCAATGAAAAGAATGTTTACAATAACATAACAGTAAAAATCCAGCCTCAACTCCACTGTACAAACCAGAAGAGCTAGTCTGTCTCACAGTCCCCAAACCACATTATTTTCCCTACTGTCCAGCCCACCCTGCAATGCTAAAGCTCTAAATAAAACATCTAGATTTCCACATGTTCTGAATCTCACATCTCATTGGGGCTCCTTTTCAATCTAAATGGGTTTATTTATCAAAATTATATATGTTTAGAGACCAAGCGTCTAATGAACAGGTTGCCCCAGTAATGTGGATTCCAGTGACATCAGTAAGAGGACACTGTGGATGAGATACATACAGACAGTGTGATGTAACATGAAGAAACTGAAGTGGTTTAATTGTTGTGTGTTTTCAGGCTACAATTTTACAGCAATGAACAAATTTAACATCACAGATTTTGTTACCCACCAGCTCTAACATTGCTAGGGAAATAATTGTTTTTACATTGTTACATCGTCCTCTCAAGTTTAGGATAAAGACATTTTTTTTCCAAATTCATGCTTCATACTTAAGTTTCATTGAGAGAGTGATTGAGTTTAGTTTTATGCCGCACTCCGCAATATTCCAGCTATATGGAGGCGGTCTGTAAATAATCGAGTCTGGACCAGACAATCCAGTGATCAACAGCTTGAGCATCGATCTGCGCAATTGGGAACCGATGACATGTGTCAACGAAGTCAGCGAGCCTGACCACCCGATCTTGTTAATCGCCTCTTACGACAAGCATGGGTTACTGAAGATCAATATTCTAACCCGGACCTTCATGGGTCTACTTAAGTTTAAAAAGTACTTTCAGTTAATAACATATGACTTCATTTATTGAAGCAGTTACCATGAACTGAAAGTATCAAATGTTTTAGTTTGGGTACAATATAGCAAGCCCCACACAACTGTATCATGTATGTATAATCCTGTACATGATGTTACATCTACTGCTGGTACCTGTTCTCATGCAGACTGGGTTCAATATGTCTGTGCTTGGCGTCAGTTTTATAATATTTAGATAATATGGTTGTCCTAAAATTTATGTTATAACATGAAAAAAACATATTATCTAAATCATTTCTATGAAATAAAATATCATAGTTCATGAGTTTAAATTATTAAAATTTATCTATGTTTTTTGTATTTACTCAGGTCTCCAGTGAAGTATTTTACACAAGAACTGTCGATGCGTGGCCGCCTCCGCAGACTCCTCATTAAGAACCCCACCACAAGTAAGTTTTATTTGGATGTCAGCGTGGCCCAGATAAGGTTGGAGCTGCTCTGGTTACACAGCAGGACCTTACCGATAGGTTTACATAATAAAACACACACATGGTTAAAAAAATATTTATTGACAGACAAATGGTGAAATAATGTGATCTTGTGTCCTTTTAAATCTTTATTTCATGGTGCTCTGTTTTTAATCTTTAGATACAGAAGCACATAGTTTCATGATCATTTTTTATCAACAATATTGACCCCAAACATTGCGTGACTTGTTGATGTATGTGGTGTGCAGTGGTCTTGTGAAAGGAAAGCAGCAAATGTCTGCCTTGGGGCTTTAAGTGACCTGATGGAAGAAACACCTATTTCAAGATACAGAGAGTGTTATGAGTATCACTTGAGTGTCACCTTGTGCATGATACAATGTGTGACTGGGGTAATGCATGTCATGGTCTGTGACTGGGGTAATGCATGTCATGGTCTGTGACTGGGGTAATGCATGTCATGGTCTGTGACTGGGGTAATGCATGTCATGGTCTGTGACTGGGGTAATGCATGTCATGGTCTGTGACTGGGGTAATGCATGTCATGGTCTGTGACTGGGGTGACTGGGGTAATGTCATGTCACTGGGTTAATGCATGCCATAGTCTGTGACTGGGGTAATGCATGTCATGGTCTGTGACTGGGGTAATGCATGTCATGGTCTGTGATGGGGTAATGTCATGGTCTGTGACTGGGGTAATGCATGTCATGGTCTGTGACTGGTAATGCATGACTGGGTAATGCATGTCATGGTCTGTGACTGGGGTAATGCATGTCATGGTCTGTGACTGGGGTAATGGTCATGGTCTGTGATGCGTTAATGTCATGGTCTGTGACTGGAGTAATGCATGTCATGGTCTGTGACTGGGGTAATGCATGTCATGGTCTGTGACTGGGGTAATGCATGTCATGGTCTGTGACTGGGGTAATGCATGTCATGGTCTGTGACTGGGGTAATGCATGTCATGGTCTGTGACTGGGGTAATGCATGTCATGGTCTGTGACTGGGGTAATGCATGTCATGGTCTGTGACTGGGGTAATGCATCATAACCATAATAGAGGTTTACTTCAAAAACAGTTTGTTTTTTGTAGATTACCTTGTTTGTCCTGATGACATCATTGTGGCAGCTTTATATGCTGATAGAGATTAGGCAGTCTAATTAAATCTTAAACTTTAAACAGATGGACGAACAGACAGACAAGAATCCAATTGTCCAGAGGTTTTGTAGGTGTCTGAACACACCAGAAATGTGGAAATGTCTCTGAGTTTTTAACTTACATTCCCAACAGGTAGTATATCAATTATACCAAATATACTTGATTGGAAGCCAGTTAATCCCTTAACAATGTAAGCTTTATTATAAGCTGATTCTATATACCAATTATACTTGATGTGGAAGCCAGTTAATCCCTTAACAATATACTGACTGTTAGCTTTTTTATAAGCTGATTCTTTTTTCCTGTTTCTTTTTTTCCGTTTCTTTTTTTCCTGATTCTTTTTTTCCTACAATCTAAGTCACATCTTGCACTCCAGCAGCTACACCAATGTTTACTCCAACCCCACACGTTTACTACACTGGATAAACAGTGTTCTTTCAGCAGCAATCCAAGTCATTCATGCTGTAATCTTGAGTGGTCATCAGGGCATTTAATCCCAAGACAAACACACACCTTTACACTACAGTGGCTGGTTAAGGGGTCAGTGTTATACCTACAGGTCAGGGCAGTAAGCTATTGTAGATTGGGTCCAGACCGGAGGCTTATCGGGAGTGATTAAGCCTATTATTGGCTGTAAAGTGGATTACAGTGTTTGTGATTTGCCAGGGATTAGAGCAGGTGTAACCTCAAGTGTTTTGTATGGTTATTTTTACTTTATTCTTACAGTAGAACCATGCAGGTTGCCCATTTGTTTCAGGCTCAGGGGCGGTAGTGTAGCCTAGTGGTTAAAGCGTCCGCTGGTCATGCTGAAGGTCAGGGTTCGATTCTCCAGATGAATACAATGTGTGAAGCCCATTTCTGGTGTCCCCTGCTGTGATATTGCTAAAATTGGCATAAAACTAAACCCACTGCATAAGGCTCTGCAATTTTTACTCCAGAGTTGTCATGTATACAATTTTTCATGATCAACCATCGATCAGCAAGTTATATATTGATATCAGTATAACAGATATTAGGATAACACACATCTGAAAAATTAATTCAGTCATAACTTACAGATAAGTACCGGCCTGAAATTATAAGGAGCTCTCTCCCAGACATACTATTAAAAAGACAGAAGTTAGAAGAGGGCTGCAGTGAAAACACTACGAGGCAATAATGATATTTTTAGGGGCGGTGGGGTAGCCTAGTGGTTAAAGCGTTGGCTCGTCACGCCGAAGACCCGGGTTCGAATCCCCACATTGGTACAATGTGTGAAGCCTATTTCTGGTGTCCCCCTCCGTGATGTTGCTGGAATATTGCTAAAAGTGGCGTAAAACCAAACTCAGTCAGTCAGTAATGATATTTTTACATGTATATAGTAACAAAGAGCAATGCATTTCGAACAATGCCACCTATAGCCTAATTACAGTGTCTTGGTAAAGAGTCCTTGGTGAAAAACACAAGTTACACTAATGCTTGGCTTTTATATGTTCCATTTTGAGTATCTCACTTGAGCAAAAAACAATCTTTTTCCAAGTAAAAACACTCTGTTGAAATTATTCGTAAATGTTCAATTCTAGTGACTACAAGTAATGAATTGAATTCATGGAGAGATACGGTTCGATTCTCCGAATAGGTGAGTGAATCGTAACACTACCAGTCTACATAATTATTAGATGCTCTTAGAAATATAGTACCCTAAAACCCCCAAAATTCATATTCAATAAGACAACATAATTTACATATACATGGTGTAATCAGTTGACTTGATCTGTTTCATGAAAGTAAGCCTGTCATCACATCTATTAGGATAACATTGAGCTAACACTTCAATTAAGGCTCATTACAATTTAGAGCCCATACAAGCATGTCAAATGTATTACAGTCTACTTCCAACCAGGCAGTAAATATATCACCATGATTAGTGCCAGTTCAATAAGCAGGATACTCGCCTCTCTCTCGCCAGTAGGTTATCATAGGACACGCCCCATTCAGTATCAACAACAAATTATACTCTTTCTATTGTTTCACTTTTTGGGTAGAGAAAATAAAGGATAACTAGCATGTTAGGAACATAAATTTCTTGGAATCTTTAAGAAAAATTCAATCATGACTTGAAGCGAGCTTGTAGTGCTTACGAAATGTAACAGACAAAACCAACCATGTGAAAAATATTGTTAATGAAAACAAGTGTTCCAGAATTGTTTGTGTTCGATTATGAGAAATTATGATCGATTGCTTGGTCGTTTAGTCACTACGACAATCAATCTTCGACATTTCAAATAATCGGACCACCACTATGACATACCATGAAATAATTTGAGTATCAATACTTTTAAAAGCCGTGTTAAAGTAAAGTCACTCGTTGTATTCAGAGGCATTCCTTGACTAATATACAGGTCAAATTCTTCTCTGTCGTTTGCGCCTGGGCTGCAGTGATCTTAATTCTCACTTGTTTGATAGATATTTGTCAGACAGCCGAACCTGCTCCATGTGGGAACACTCGAGAAAATGCTTACCATTATTTCCTTTAGTGTCCTCTATATGATAGGTTTAGATTTAATAAATACTTCTTTCAAAATAATATAAGTTTACATGCTATTCTAAGCAGATGATGAATCTTTGTCCCAGTATGAAAACGTAATTAATAATAAAATCGGTTTACAGTTTCTTAAATGATACCAACCGTTTTTCCATAAAGTGTGGTACCATATGCTTTACTTAGTTTGAAATTATTGAATTACTTATTTCCACAAATGTACTTATAAAATCCTTCTCTGCAAGATTATGTTTAGGAGAAGCATTTACATAGGCTGATGCAGCCTGTTTGCTGATCCTTTTTCCTTTTTGTAACATAATCATGTTTAATGTATATCACATGTCTTTCGGGAAATAAAATGCTGTTTAAATATACAATCAATGAAATAAACATTTGCTGGAGAGTTGATGTACTTTACTGAGAAAGTGTAATCCCAAATCTAACATGTGTTATGTTTGTCTTATAAGTTAACCATATTTTATCTTTTACTTTCACAAACTTTTCAGAATGCTTATTTGTGTTTTTTTGTCTTGAACTAAGTTGGCTTTTAAGATGATGGATGAATGGGTAGTGTAGTGATTTCATGCAGCCTTCCAACCTGTGATTCAAATACAAGCCAATCCCACATTACTTCCCCAGCTCCTTCGCCCTTCCGTCGTCCCCAAACCCTTAAAATCCGACCTCATCAAAAAAGGGGACCAATCCACAAAACCCTTTCCTACAACCTGTCAATGTTTTACCATTGACAGGCACTTACACCATATCCCAAAACCAGTACAACCCTTACAATAAAACCATTACATCCACAAACCCATTAATCAGGGACCCTTGGGTTGTCTGGTCCAGATATGATTATTTACAGGGTGCCATGATATAGCCAGAACAAGCAAACAAACTTTCTTCATCATCACAACCCCCTCACCATACGTACCTTGCAATAATCTGCTAAAAGCATCATAAAACCATAAACTCACTCAACCCATCTATTGTGACCCATTATCAGAATAACCTTGAGATAACAGCCCTTGTTCCACATCCCACAACTACACAGGAAATATTATCTAACCTTACAGAGAACATCTTCATCATCACTTTTTCTTTGTAGATTAGATACAGGCCATGATAAGCCCCTCGTGTTATGTAAGCCTTTGTTTACTGTAGTTTAATGACTGGTCAAGTCAACATTTACAGAAGCTTAAAAACCCTTCATCTATTCATATGAAAAGCAGCACACACAGTTCAAGGTACATATGTCATTAATAGCGGTTGGATACATGAATGCTCT